AACAATGGATTTGGGTCTATTTTGATATTCTTCCTTTGCAAAGTGTTTAAGGCGACAACTGCTTATCCGCTGAAAACAAGCCAAAGCAAGCCGTAGGTACACAAATCCGACGGGCAGCAAAAAAAAGTGTTGACATTATAATAATAATTTTTAATTGCTTCAAAAAACATTTTTCCGTACTCCCCGCCGTTCGTATGTCTTTGGCCAGTTTGACTCGAATTGGCGTTCGCGTTCTACCCAAACTTGTTGGGATTATTTGGCATTACGTCGTGTCTGTGGCGCTGGTGGCTAAACTTGCAAACATTGCAAAGGGTAATTAACATTATTTGGCATTTTTTCAACACACAACCCACCAAAAGTAACTCTGTGCTGCTTAACCCTGCTTTTCGCAGCTCTCCTTCCGCTGCTTGAGCGCTTTCTTCTACTTTATTTGCTTGCTTGCCCCAAAAAAAGGGTCCTTCCAACATTAATTTTTTGTGGTTTTTGCATTTGGTTGCATTTTGGGTTGTTGTCTTCTGCTGCCCACTCCTTGCGCCATACACTTGCTGGTTATGCTTGCAGTGAAAAAGATTGAAGCATGTATGACGGTGTATGTGGGCGTGTGTATTAACATCTCGATTTTTTCCGCACTCATCCGTCGTTCACATTTTTTCACTGCGCCGTTTTGTGGGCTTCCAATGAGGTCTTCCTCATTTTCTCCGTACGTTTTTCGTTTTTTTCTGGGTTTGCTTGCTTTCAGTGGTTTTTTCTGTGGCTCTTTTGGCTTTCAACACCTGCAACGGGGCGTGAATTAAGTGCTTTAGATTTTCTTCATTTAACACTTAATTCTTTGTATCCCATGAAGAAGGGCGTGTTAACAGCGGAAATGAGATTTTTCCCTGCAGTAGCGGCTGTTGAAGTGTTAAGTACGTATTAAAACGGATTCATTACTACAATTTATTTTTTTTTATTTAAAAAACATGACCAATTAGAGGAAGGGCAGTAGAGTGTCAATAAGGGCAAAGCCACAATATTATATATAATTTTTTTAATATTTTTCTAAATCTGGGTCGCGTCAGAGTTGCTGTAGTTAGGGTTCTTTTTCGTCAACCTGTGTCCGCTAAGTAGTAGCCCCTGAAAATAGTTGGTAACCAATTTATGAACCCGACTGAAATCATAATTAGATCCAAGCATTAACTGAGCTGTAGCTGGTGATGTATTTTTGCTTTCGTCGTGGATAATATACCGTCTGCTGATTAAGTTCTAACAACCAGCAACCTAAAGTTACAGCAGCTGTCAGCAATGCTATTTCTTCAAGAAAAAAGTTTCAAATATTGCTAGGTTAGAACATTTTGGAATATAGAGATAGTTTATATGTGTACTGCTGTGTTCACGTGTCCTGCACTCCTAGCAAAGAGTTCTTCTTACCAAAAATAGGGCTTGGAAACAAGAGAACAGTTACAACATTATTTTACAACGCAGTTTTGACGGCGATTTTTTGCAAAACATGAAACATATTTACCATATTTGATTGGATTTTCGATTCATAGACTCTCACGGTCTCCGATAATCCTCGTAATTCAGTAAATTAACTCTTACTAATCGGTAGTTGTTAAATTAAAAGAGGTTTCTCCTAAACAGAAATAAATGTCTTTGAAAATGAGCCATCACTTGACCAACACTTGCGGTTTTAAGCGCGTATTTGTATTACCTGTCTTCCTCACTAGGGTTGTAAGCCTATTGCTGGTCCATCCACATTATACGAGTGTATTAGATACATACATACATATGTATATATAATATCTCACTTTTTGCCTCACATTTTGCTGTCGCCGTCAATTTTTATGAATGAAAACCGTAAAAGGCAAAAACGCAGCGGTTGGCTTTTCAAGTTAGTTCCAGAGTGATTTGTACCAACAAAAACAAAACAAACAGTGCATCAAGAAAAAACACAAAAACTCACGCAACAACAATGTGAATTGGCAGTAGAGTAAAAGCAACAAAGCGTGAAACGCTTTTCAGCAGCAGATGTTGTTTATTGTTGTTTTTTTTTTGCTAGCTTTAGTCAAACTCACGACACTTTGTTGTTGCTGTTGTTTCTTTACTGCGCCCATATGGCGTGGCGCTGCAAGCAGCAGCATTGTAACAGCAGCTCAGAAAAATGAGAGAGGCGAAAACGAAACGCGACAAAAAAGTGTAAAAAGCACAAACAACAAAGTAAAAATAAACGCGAAAAGTGCAAGAAGAGTATGAAAGAAAAATACCGGCATATCCGACACGCGGTCATAAAAACGTAAAATGTTCAAAGCGTCACGGCGCGACAGCACCCGCGCGATAACAACGCGCCAACAGCAACAACAGCAGTAGCAGTGGTGACGACGGCGACAGCAAAAACAACATGCGATGCGACTTGGCGCGTCAACTTAGCGCATCGTAGACGTTTTGCGAAGTTTACTTCTCCTTTGCCGCTTCTTACACGCGCTTCCTTTGCACCGTCTGCTTCCTTTCGACAGCACCTTTGGCTCAACGCCTTTCTTATTCTTGCTGTAGCGGATGTACTTTTCGGTTTCGCGCGCAGCGCTTGCCCTCCTTGAACAACTGTTGACAGCTGTTGTTGCTACTTTCGATGGCATCGCCACCAAAAACGAACAAATCAGCGAGGTCATCAACGCCTTCGTCGTCATCATTATCGCTTTTGGTAACTGAAAAAAGAACAGCTGCAATAAAAAGCGGCGAAACAGAGTCAAAAGTTTGCACACGACTTGTTGTTGTGACTATTTAGCCAACTTCGCTGCGCCAAAGCGACTTGTTGCGCTTCGTTGTCGGAGTGGTGTGTTTGATTTGTTGGTTGTTGTTGTTGTGCTTATAATGGGTTTGCACCTTGTTGCATGTGGTATGAGAGCATGATGCCAGGCGTGCGAAAACAGCAGTCAAGCGACATTTTTTGTGGCGTAGAAACAATATAAGTGAGAGAAGATGGAAAGTTAAAGGCGTTAAGGTCTTGAAGACGGTGGTGTGTTGAATGGTGCAATCACAAAGATATCTCTTGAGACTGGTGCCTATCAGGTCAAGCTTCTAGAAAGAACTTCGCTCTCGTACAATTCCTGAGGTGCAGATGTATCTCTCGCAGTCAGTTATACAGCTCACTGGCGAGTAACTAGTCTCGTTTAAGCTCGTGCAGATTTCTAACTGTCCAATACCATAATAATTTTGCTCCAAAAACAATTCAATCTCGACTTGTTTTCATGACCGACCACTGTTGTCTGCCAACCACAAATGCTCGCTCAATTAGTTGCTTATTTGTCGAGAAAAAATAGGAAACTTTGTGGCACGCGTCTGGCACGACCTCAATCCAAGCGCCGGCGTCACCTTTGAGTGCTGCCAGTACGATTAAAAGGAAAAACGACAGAAAATAAAAACGCTTTTGTAACTTCATACTCACATACAGTTATATGTGTGCACATACATACACGCTCCGGGAAAGCCCAAGCAGTCAAGTGTGCAAATGCGAGGCCAAGCCAGGCCAGGCCAGGTTAGCGACGGCGGCGTGACGTCTGTGGCGAGGGTGGAATCACCCACAACGAAGAAATTCGTAGACACTTGCCAGACACTTTGCGCCACTCACTCACTCACATTACCCAACACACACACACACACACGCATCAACAATCGGGTGAAGGTGCTGTTAGTAAGAATACTGCACGACTGTTGTAGCAGCTGTCGTGTTAGAAGTCGTTGTGGAGTTGACTCCAAGTAAAAGTGTATACCGTTACATGAGTATATGCGTGTATGGTGTGTTTGTTGAGGTTTTGTGTGTAGAATGTGAAAAGTTTTGATATTTTTCTCACAAAATGCCACACGTAGCACACACACCCATACCCACCTTCTACACTTTGACGACGCATTGGCGCTCCCTGCACGCCGCTCGTTTACTCACTCTGCATTTGTGTGTCTAATGCCGCTTTTTGCTCAAGCTGCCCTCCCATTACGGGCCCCAACACGTTGCTTTTCTTCACTCATTTCTTTGTTGTTACTCACAGTCGGTTTTATATTCGATTTTTCCTTTTTCCCCCCACCCTGCTTCCCCAGGCTAGCAAAGCTCTGTTCGCTGCCGAGTATGCCGCTGTGTGTTGTAGCCTTTCTACTCACATACTTATGGATACTTCCTTTTTATTTACCACTTGGGAGGCATGCCAAGATAAAATAAAGCTCCACGAGCGTTGTGCTTAGGGTGGGGGGTATATAAAACTGTGTAGCTGTCCTGACTGTGGCGTGCTGGCCGATTTGCTCGTAAAGTACTAGCATTTTGGCAACTGTTGATGTGCTACTGTGATTTTTACGAAGCTACAATGCTTCTCTCCCACGGTCGTTGGTTGCTGTTATTGTTGTTATGCTTTATACTGTTATTTTATTTTTGTATTTTGGTGTGTTTTTATTTTATTTTTCTACCCCAAAAGCAGCAACAGGTTGCTATTTGGCCTGCTGGCTTGGCCCTTTGTCCGTACCGTTAAGCGTTTCTTTCACTCTGCTCCATTGTTAAGGCATTGGCTTTTTGAAGCGATTTTGTTCGTAAATATATTTTTTTCTTACGAAATTACGATGATTTCAGCTTTGCGGTGGTGAGAGCAAGCTATAAACGCCGACTAAGTGCGTCGCTTTTTAGCAGTCACTTTACTATGCTTATCTACATAATAGTCTTATTACGCTTGAACAACAGGAAAACACCCCACTAACGGTTTTCTTGTGTATTTTCCAATTCTATTTATTTGCTTTTTTGCTTATGCATTTCTTTTGTATTTTTGTGTGCTGCTGAGCTTAATTGTGTTTGTAAAGCCAGCAACACTTGCAATTTTTGCTGCTCTCCCGTTAGCTTGTGTAGAATATAGTGTACGCGTTGGTGAACTTCCGAAGCCATTTCTATATGCGCAAACTGTGTGCTTGTAGTTATGACGTGTGGCTCAATGTTATAGTTGTATTTAAATTTCTTTACTAATCGAAATTTTATTTCTATTTATTTTCAGTTAGTCCCAGCAGGCACAAGCAATAAAAACACATAAGGCAAGGGAAGAATTATTGGCGCTGCAGTTTGCTGTTAAAATAACCGGTAAAAGTCAACCACTTTGTTAGGAAAAGCTGGACGAAATTCAAGGTGAGCTCAAAATCAAATCATCCAAAAATATATAGACGAAGTTTCAACTTCAATTAAAGACCTATTACTTAAATGGAAGAGCGCTTGAAGAGTGTTTTTGCTTTAGCTGCATGAAATAATACGGGAGATGTTTTGTTATACTCGTTATAGTTGAGGTGAGGGTCCTTCATAGAAATTATATATTGGTCGTTTCGGTTACGTGAACACGCTTGTCAAAAATACTACACAGGCGCCATATGTACTTCGGCTTTAATACTAGCCCTTAAGCTTGGCTTACAAAAGAGAGTGCCACCACAATTCCTGTGTTATTTTAAAACCAAATCAGATAAACAGAAAAATTACTGGCACGACCTTTTGACGGGCGTGCCTCATTTTGGCGCCTGCCACAAGCGGCACATAACCTCAAAGGCTTGACGTCGTTTTTGCAAGAAAGTCAATTCAGTTTTCACTATCTCACTTGTGGGCTTAATTTTGTTTGGGATATTTATATTCGCACATTCTTTACACACACGCATACGTACATTTATGGCGCTTGTGTGTGTGTGTGTGAGTTTGTGGCAACGCTTGTTGGTTTGCGAGTGCAAATAAATTTAGTGCGAAATTAGAAACCAATCAACGGCATTGCATCAATCGACTTCGTTCGTCAAGACATACAAATGCACACATGTATGTATGTATATTATTCGTGGCTACGTTGGTATGCGCTTACAGTTATTTGTGCCTTGCGAATTTCCAAGTTATTTTCAAATTGGTTATCTTTGTAATTGTTTTGTGCCAATTGCAATTATTGCACGAAATTACCTGCAAACACACGCACACATACACATACACACGTAGGCACACGGTTAGGCATTTGTGAGTGATTTATGTCTATTATGATAATTTCACTCGCTGCTTATTATTATTGTTATTATCATTACATTGGCAGCCGTTGATTGTGGCAATATGCAAATATTGCGTAAAAGGATTTGCGAAAATGGCGATAATGCAAACGAGCATGGATTTATGGCTTAAAAGATAATTGCGGATACAAGAAGCTCAGCATTGGCTTGCAGTATATGCTTAGTCTATATATAAATAAATAAACACATATGTTTGTATGCATATGGAATATAATTGCAGAGCCAAAATACAACAAGATATGCGTGTGTGTGCAGCATGTTGCTGTCGTGATGTCTTTAAAGCGGTTCCGAAGGCTTTTGGCAACAAATAAGCTACGCTTGCGCTCCAACTATGCTTCGCAGCTTTCCTAGAAATATGTATATAAATAAATCGAAAAAAATCTAAAGCTGTTAATTAATAGCAACGAACGGCGCACGACAATAACACGCAACAACACACATATTAATTTAAAATTTTTTTTTCAGCACAAGCTTATTAAAGCCGCATGCAGCAATGGCAAAAGCAGGCGCTTTTTGATATGCTCGATACACGTATGTATGCGTGTATGTATGGTTGTTGTGATTATACGAAAATATACAACAAATAATCACGCAACAATTAATTTAGCGCGATTTGCATGCAACAGCGAGCAGCTCCAAGTTGGAGTGACACTTTGTGCCAAGGAGTTGCATATAAGCACACACACATACATGCATAGATATATTCATGCATACATATATACATGTTTATTATACTACTTATGTATGCTTTTGACAGTGTGCAACGCCTGTATTGCTAAGCAACATTGGCTGCGGTATTTAAATGTAATATTTTATGCTGCTTTATGTTTAAGTTGAGTTTGGTTTCGAAAGCTTTTGAAGCAGGCAATTAAGCAAATCCATATGCAGACTTATATATTTAAGTATTTTTTTAATTTCCATGTCTTTATTGCAGTAATTTGAATAGCTAATAAGAATATTTTGGCAAGCGAAACGTGCCCCTCAAAAGCCTCTAGCTGGAATAGGCGTAACCAAGCAGGTTTATATAATTTTACATTTATTAAAATTTAAGTGCTTTATTAACAAGTGAACGTTTATTTTGCGAATGGTTACAAAGTAAACACGTGTTCTTAAGCAGAATCGAATTGAAGGTGAAACGTAAATCCGGTTGCTGCATATCTTGAGGTCAGCGCCACCTAAAGGAAACATTTGGCATGCACTGACAGTGGTATTAGGTGGCGGAGCACCCCACTCCTGCAAAACCATAGTGTATCCTTCAAATGACCGAAAGTTCGAATACTCTCCAGACTTTCAGATGAGGTTTCTGTGAGTTACTTCTAAATTCTTACTGAAATTAACATCAGAGAATCCATGTTGTCTTATTGTGGCCAAGATAACAGAGAGAGATTAACTTTTAGTTAAATTTCACTCATACCAATATAGATATGTATAATACATGGAAGCAGACGAGGTGGAAACATCTCAGCACTTGCTTCTTGATTGTAGCGCGTTAGCATTACTTTAAGACTTAAACACTTGGGAGCTCACTTTTTTGGATATACCACCGAACTAGTGGAAATATAATATGTATATCTTTACTCCGTTACTGCGCCCAGTTTTCTCAACACGTAAGCCAGATATGCACAAATTCGGCGTATCTTGATACGCGACCAACTCGTGTTTACATTTTATATTCATTCCAACGCATGCAACAAAATAAACTCGTACATAACAAAATATTAATATTTTATTCAAGCATTAGCCTTTCCATCCTGCTGTAAGATCGTGTAATTTATGTGCCACATTATGCAGCATCAGTCGTGTGTCTGCGTAGCCGGCTCTGTCGATCCGATCACTGCAACGATTTTTCATACGCGCTGCCACAATCTGTCACGATCATTATTACGAGCTGTTGTCGATTGTACGCAACAGGCGGTGACGGCCCACAGGCCAAACGACCGATAAAGCGCCGCACAGCCACACACACATACACGCACATATGTATGTCGGCACGCACCCAATAGGCGATCAGGCATCACTGGTGGCAACACTAAATTCGAATATTTGCTTGCGGCGCAACAAACAACCGTTTTTTTTTTGTTATCTAATTCATACAAAATGCACTATTTTATGGCGCTTTAATGTCAATAACATGCATTTTATATGCGTTTTAAAGCAATGTGGAATATTTTCAAGCGATTTTATGCTAATTGCCTTTGAAAGTTTCGCTGATTTATGGGGCAAATTGTTGTTGTCAAATATTAATTGCTTGATTAGCTGGCTGCTCGCATGACGTATAGCTTAAGCTAATGTGCCGTTTGATATAAAATGTTGTAGCTGTTGCTATTTGTAGAATGGAAAAGGTAAAGTTGGTTCAGTAGATCACGCAGTTGGCCAGGACTTCCTGCCTGCTTTAAGTGAAGAGTCGATCCATAACTTGACTTTGCAACAATGAAGCAACTGAGGATTAAGAGAAACTCATCTTGATTTTTATAGTTCTCACCAGGGCACACAAAATGGCTTCACAATGTGTGACTTGAGGTTAGAAGGGATTTAGCAATCTCGTCTGTTGAGTTTTCCGATTATTTTTTATTTTCTGGACAAAACGCATCACATATTGTATTTTTCAGTGATGTAATCTGGAAGTTAACTATTTTTGCAACAAACACGTCGCCAAATATTTAACTGGAAAAAATTTGCCTTTACACGATATTTATCCAATTTTGCTGAAACATTTAAATATCTACAGTTGTTCTATTCACCAATGCTTCCTGGTATCTTAGCGATCGGGTGTATTTTCCTTCAACGGTGACGTCTTTTTACGAAGTTGTGACTTACGAGTATGTTAAAAATTAAAAAAAGTTATCACTTATGCTGACCCTGCGGTTCCAATAAATCACGGTTATTAAGCAATAAATACACTTGTATTGTGTAAAAGATTTCAAACATAACTGTACCACATTTGTATTCATAACGACAACTAATTGGTTTGCCTCATTGCGAATAACTCATTAAAAGGTTAAATATCTTTTCATTGAACTTTGTACTCAATCGCGATATTGAACTAATGAAATGACGAACGATCGAACTTACGAGTAATGACGGCGATTGCAACGAGCGAATAAAATATTCAAATGAGACTCAAATTACAGCTCATTGAATACATTGAACGCAACTAAGTACTTATATAAAAATAAATTAAAAATCACTCGACGCAGTAGCAATTTAATAACGGAAAAGGGAAAATGATTCACATGCAGACGGCGCACAACTCCCCTTACGTTGCAAGGCAAAAAAACAAAGCATCGCCGTGAATCGAAACAATCAGCGGTCCATAATTGAGAAACAATCTAGAATAATTACGCCGAACGACACTCGAATCAAAGCAAATGAGCTGTTGGCGAAACGTGGATTTTTCCCAATCAATTGGTCCAAAATGTTGAGAAACGAGCGTAAGTAGCAGCCGAAATGTTACGATCGTCGCACCGCCTGGCTATGCTGTGCCATGCGACGCAAAGCTAATGATCGCCGAATGTCGAGCGTGGAGTGTTATTAATAGTGATGATGTTGATTGTCATCAGCGTTAATAATTGAAGGAAATTATACAAATTTATTGTGCGGCTGTCGGCATTGTGGAAATGTTTGTGACGCGTTTGTAAATCAGGGCTAAATTAATAAGGGGGGTAACCACTGCCCCTATGCCTGCATATATTATTATTTATAGTAGATATCGTCGTGTGGACATATGTACATACATACAGACACAAATGTGCGCTTGCCGCATTTCAACAGTCGTCAAGTTAATATCAATTTATCGATTTCGTGGAATTATTTCAATGAGGTATATATGTTATAGTTATGTGATACGTTGCACAAATAAGTAATAATTGCAAGCGATTTTGTGTAGCATGAAATTATATTTATTTTAATATTATTTTTTTATATTTATTTATTTAATTTTAATTTTAAAGAACTACAAAAAATAGGGTTATACTGGCTGGCTTTCACGCCGGGTCCTTTATAACGTCAAAAGGAGGTTTATAATTAAAGCGAGCTGAAGTTTAGGACTTCGAGCAGGACGTGAACGCCTTTTACGAACTTTAAGTGTGACTTGATATC